TCTTGCTTTAAATCTGACTTTATGGAGTCATGTAAAACGAGCCGTTTTTCACTGCACCGTGAAGATTGTCAAAATCCAAACACTCCTGTTTCTTGTTAATATGGCAGACATCTCTGGCATCTYAACTGCAAGAGATGGAACGTGAGTCACGTTTATATCTAAGTTCGCTGTGAAGCTCTAAATGTGACTCAAAGTGACTCAGATAGGAAAAAATAAGAAACTGGATATTTTACTGGAAGAGATAAAATGAAGCAGAAAATGTCATTTCTGGGGTTATATTTGAAAGAGACCGTTTCAAAGCCATTGTTCAGGCTGTCTTTGATTCTATGGATAAAGACTTTGTTGACAGGCTTTTGAGAAGGTCCATATGGTGGCATGAAGTCCAGGTCTTGTGACTCTCTGGAGGGCGTAGAGGAAACCAGACAAAAGACTGAGCCGGCAGGCCCGAGCCACTCAGAGCTTCAGTGAAGCAGTGGTGGAACCCCTACTGAGACCAGTTGTCTGTACGTCCTCAGACCAAAGTCTGACCTATGGAAACTGGCAACTCCACCATAATATGTTCAGCCATCCATACCCCAACCCCCCCTGGACAAAATGGTCTCTTTTTAAAGCTGAATGGTGCCAAAGGAATGTTTAACAAGCTATCAGCATGTGACAGATTTGGGGTTTTTCTCCTTCGACATGCAGATTTGTTTATGAACACAAAGATAGAATTAAACATTTTCTAACTTATACAAAGAGAGATTTTTGCTTTTAGTCTCTAAAGTGCAGTCCTAAGCAAAATAACAGCACTTTCAGTTAAAATACAGCTAAAATAGTTGAAAGCTGTACGAAAACACTTTTTTAAGGTATTGCAAATACACAAAGCTATACAACAGTGCTGGTTTATATCAAATTTACAGAACTTCTTTTTATTTCCCACTGATTTGTATTTATATTTGAGCTCTAAATCAGTACTTTTAAAAATGCATTCTTTATTTTTGCACATAAACATTCATGTCCGTAGCGTTCATCAGGTGGTGCTGCAGCATCCTCTGCACCTCTAGATCTTAAAGCTGCAGTTTGTAACTTTTCTAAAAACCATGTTTTTTTTTTTACACATTTGTTAAACCTGCCACTATGTCCTGACAGTAGAATATGAGACGGATAATCTGTGAATAAATAAAAGTTATTTTGGCTCCTCCCAGTGGGGTCCTACAGCCATTTGCAGAAATACAGCACTCCCGGTCAGAAACAGCCAATCAGAGCCGGGAGGATTGTCTCACCGGTGTCAATCACACACATGTACGTGCAGCTCACATCCTTCCCCCGCACAGCGTGTACCTGCCCAAGCTCAAGATTGTTGGTGTGCTACAGCTGTGCTAATGGCGGAGAAACAAGCTAACGGCAGAGAAACAAGCTAATGTTACAGAAAAACTGCTAATTTTTGAAAGTTCTGAATGTGGCGTGCTGTTTATCTGTCGTCATCAGTGGCCTTGAGGTGGAGTAGAAGGAGGGCGACAGAGGTGTGCTTGTTCAAATTTTCAGGTCACTGTTTTTTCAGAACTTCCTCCTGCAGCTTCTTTCTCACACAGGCAAAAGACTATTTTTTAAATCATCTTGTTAATGCTGCACTCATCCTGACTATTTACTCAGTTGAATTCCCTTTTATCTCTATTTTAGTCTGCCGTTTAACATTTTAACATTTTCTCGGCTTCCTCTGTTGTCTCCGTCACTGTTGGCGAAACAAAAAACTGCAGCCAGGACCCGCAGTTTATCTTCTGAGTGCCAGCTCCTGTCCACAGCAACATTAAAGCCACCCACATCCCTGAGAGCTGCATCCTGAGGGTCCCGGTCCCACTGCAATCTTGGAGAGATTATTTTAGAGACTTTCCACCAACATGAGGTTACCAGTCAACGAGTCAGAAATAAACAGAGACACAGTTACATAAAAAAATGTCTGCGTTGCTGGTTGAGTATCGGAATAACAGAGTTGTAAAGTAACTAAGAACAAATACTTACTGTACTTAAGTAGAAATTTCGGTTATCTGTACTTTACTTGAGTAATTTTTTTTCAGCGTACTTTTTTACTTTTACTCATTACATTTTTACACAATCTGTACTTTCCGCTCCTTACATTTTTTAAAAAGGTAAGAAGTAGAAAGCCATTACTCCTTTTTTATTCCAAGTTGTTATTACTTAAAAAAATACTGTCCTGATAAATTTTGTCTCCTGGATAGAGTGAATTTAATTGTGGCTGGACGAGAAGTATAAAAATACACCATTCTGACACCATATTATCTTGTACACAACCCATCACAGCTGCACACCGTTTTTAGAGAAGACTTTAACTTTTACCAAAGTATTTTTATGATTGTACTTTTACTCTAGTATCACTTTGAGGTACTTTATACAASACTGCTGAATAATTTGAGATTTGAAGTGCAAAATAACGGCAMCACTTTTTTCAACTAAGAAACAAAACATCTCTCTTTTGAATTGTTTTTAGCATTATAAGTTATAGAAGGCTTTAAAAGTAGACTTGGCAGTAAAGGTAAAAATGTACTGTAGCCTATTAYTTGGTGACATCCCAATAAAAGCCCATGAGACTTACTTTTCCTGAACTTCAGAGAAAAACCTGCTTTGATTTGCATCCTCGGTCAAAAGGAGGCTCTTTGAGAGTACAGTAAAGAAAAGTTTCATGCAGAGAACTAGAGATGCACCCCTGGAGTGAGATCTCACTAAACAGACAGGAGGACAGATGGGCCACAGAAAACTGCACCACAACTCACATTTAAAGTGGGCAGCAGACAGGTGTGAGTAACACGTAACAGGTATATGCATGTTTAGAATGTGGGCCACATGTAGGCTGCATGAACCTCACATTTCATTCAATCTAAAGTGTGTGAAGCCTGCTCTACTTTCTTTTCGGTTTCAAAAAAGTGACTTTTTTATGTAAACAATCAGTACAGAGCTGTTTCATTTCAATGATAAAAATTCAAAACATAGTGAAACTATTGGGCAAGGGGATGTTCTGCCAAATGTGCTTATGTAACCACAATCCAGCAGTTCATTCACTCCGTTAGAAGAAAATAAATCCCTCTGATTGTCACMAGTAATGTCGAAATACTTGCCTGTTCTCTGATTTCTCTCCCACAACATGTCACAGGTTGTCTCCCGTTTACAGCTTTCCTAATCTCGCGCATGTGTGTGTGTGGGTGTTTGGGTTTGAGAAGAAATCACTTCCATTCAGACATTAAGTGCTGGCGCAAACCTTCGCCACATGCTGTTCTCTGTCGTTTTTTTTTTTGCGCAGAATTACAAGTTTCTGTTTGAGGAAAACAAAGAAACGTGGAGCGAAGCTTGTGAGAACAAGCAGCTCGATGAGTCGGGATGGGAACGCTTTGATGTAGGAACTTCTGGTCTTAAACTTCACCTTAAGCTGAGAGAAGCTCAATTAAACACTTTCACTTGCTTCCACTTTGAATCCGCCATCGCACGCTCACACTCACGCAGGGCTGGTCTTTGTGGCCTGTGAGAGAAGTCAATATGCCTTTTCAGCTTTCAACTGATTTTACCCAGCGTGCATCTCCTTACCGTCTGTCTGGTCTCCATGGATTTATTAATAACAACTAAGGTTCAAAATGCAAACAAAGAGACACAATATGTCTGTTTTAAGAAATAAACATCAAAAGCATTGAGTTAATTAAATAAAAATTCATTGCAACTTGCATAAAGTTGAAACTTTTGTCCAAAAAGAAAAAGCTGGTAATCACAAGCAGAAACACATTTATTCACCTCAGATGAGTCTTTTCTAATTCTAATGCATTTTCATGATAAAGTGTGCTGTCAGCAGGAGGTACGCTTTCCCACAGTCGCTGGATGAAAGGAWATGTCTCCAAATAACCGAAGTCAGAAAGAATAGAAAATAAAAACCAAGCACTTATTCACATTATTCATGTTGCTCTGAGATTCAGACAGAAATGTAGCAAAACACGTCCTCCGTCTGTGTAAATACGGGCCTTTGTGACGGTCTGAGTGAGGGGTTTCAGATTATATTTACATTGTGGAATTCCATTCAGTTTGGCTGCGTGCTTGACTGAAAAAGTTGGTACAAATGGTATTTTAAGAAACAGTAAAACAACAATGGGGCACACCTCACATGGTGGTTTATAATCAAACAATTTAAAAGTTCCTATTTACTTGTTTTGTTCGCATGTTGCACAGGAAGATGAAAGTCAAAGATCAGAAGGCTGACTTCAGAGCTTCATCCTGTTTCAGGCTCCATTATTAATGCTTCATTAATGCCCGAAACAAAGAGGATGTGAACGCACGCACAGACCCTCACGCACTCGAGCAGATTAGAAATTCGCAGACTGTGTACAAGTAACTGATTAGGAATTCACCTAAACTGAGAACAATTCAGTTTTTTTTCCAAAACACAATATAGAGGTGTCTGTTTGTTGCTTTGCCACATTTCTAATTTAGTGGAAAGCGATTCCAAAATTGTTACACATAGGTTTTCAATTATTGTGAATTGGTTCAATGTGAAAACTAAACTTAAAGAAAAATTTTCAGCTTTCAAATATAGAAAAAATACATACCTGTCACGGAGCTTTCTTTGCTTTTCCTATATGAAAGAACAGCATGTGCTCTTTAGCTGTGAAGAAGTGTCATCACATTTTCTGCTGAGTTTCATTTTTATTTTTTATTTTTTTAAAATTTTTTTGTCTAAAAGTGGATCCCCAAAACCAAAGGGAAACATTGAAACCTTCCTACAAAATAAAAGCATTTTAAAAAATCCCCCCACGGCAACAAATTTACTCCTGAGTAAAAAAACTGCTGTTTTTCCTACATGATTTTTTAAATATAGTTGTTGAATCTGACGCAACTCTGTGAATTTCAGTTTTGACGAGTCTGCTTTTATTTTCTTGCCCACCGGAAGTCTTCTCTTTCTCTGAGCGCGGCTTGACTCTGGTGCGTAATTTAACACTTGCGCAGCGGCGGCTCTGTTACAGTTCCTCTGGACTTTACTTTGAACAGGATCAGATCTCGGAGACTTTCTTTTTTTTAATGCAGAATGGATGTGAAGCTGCTGACAGCCGTGGCTGCGCTGACTGTGCTCATATTTGCACCTGGCTTTCAGGGTAGGCAGAGAGTTTCTTCAATTTTTACACGATGGTTCAGATTTAGTTGGAATTTCATGTTTTATGCTGAGATGCAAAATCATGYGTGAGCATCAACTGAAACATCTATATATAGTTTAATTAAACGCTTTTAAGAAGTGTGATAAAAGACAAACACATGCAGCAGTAAAATGTGTTTTCATGTTTTTTTGCACTTGAATAGAAAAAAAAAAAGAAATCGTGAATTAGCGTTCAAATAATTTATTGCTCTTTATTGTTTCTGAACTTCATCATTATGCATTTTATGTGCAAATAAAATATTTTCATAGTTTAAAAATCTCAATTTAGTCAAATTCAGGGGTGTTTGTGAGTATGAATTTATTCTGGATTGGGAAGAAGGCATCTTCTGTCGTGYGTAAACAGGATGCTCAAGAGTTTTCTCACTGTTCCACGCGCGTTTGTGCTTTTTTTTTTTCTTTTTTACACACATCTGAAACCTTATGAGGGCGTCTGAGGCGTCATTGGCAGCCTACTGGTGTCTGCTGCGTCTTTTTCTCATGGTAATTCTGTCATCAGGTGTAAAAACAAAACGAATTTAATCTCCACTCTCACCATCTGCCTGTAGCCATCCCGTGGGGTGAAATCAGTTTGGATTTCAAATGAAAAAAAAAAAAAAAGGGGGGGGGGGATAACCTAATTAAAGCAGTTTTCTTATCTCTTTTTTAGTCTGTATTTTTCCTAAAACAAATAACTACAGAGTCTGATACAGATAAATTCATTCATTTAATWGTTTTACATGCATTCTCTCATGATGGTTCCAAGAAGAGAAATCGGGGGGTGGGGGATTAATCTGCCATAAACAATGTTTACCAAAAAGCTTTCATCACAAAGAACCTGAAACAGCTCAAGGTTTTTGCATTTATGTTTGATATATTTGGCACCAGATCAAAACATGAAGGTCAAACCCCACATGGGTTGATTAGAATCCTGTATTCATGCTTGAACATGTCATTTTGTCCCCTCTGGAGGACTTTGAACTCATTTGATGGTTTAATTGATTATTAATCTGATTTCTCCTCAGTGAAAGTCTAATCTTTGAGCTGCAAGCGGGTTGTCAGTTGAATCTGATCACTTTAACTGTAGTTTTTGCTGCGTATGTTGTTCTGTTTAACTGAGCCTCATCTTGTTCTTTGACCAGCAGCAAAGCCCATCAGCCTGGTTGAGCGTTGCTACTGCCGCACTGCCGTCAACAGCGTCCCACGAGGCTACATTCGAGAGCTCAGGTTCATCCACACGCCGAACTGCCCCTTCCAAGTCGTGTAAGTGTCGTTTTCACGTTGAATCCAGAGACGACGTCTTTCTTTGTTTTAACGTCAGCTCCCGAAACTCTTGACAGTTTGGCTTTTCCTTGGACATTTCTCACCATCAATCTCCAAGAAGTGACAGGCCAGAGAAAAGAGTTGAGCATGCRTATGTACGCACACGCCCCTCTGTCAACCGCCCACAAACTCACAGAAAATAATCCTTTTTTTCCCCTCTCCAACACAGTCACAGGAAGTGTTCCTTATGACTGGCGGTGAGCGGGAACCAAAAAAAGAAAAAGAAAAAAATTGTAGTTTTAAGTTTAATCTTTGGGTCGGTTTTCAGATTGATAAATAACACATAGGTGCACATAATGAGCTAAAAACTCACACATTAAATATTCAAACCTAAAACCTTACGTTTAAGAGTTTCATATGTAAGAAATGCATGTGTTCCTGCAGTCGTGTCACAACTGCATTTTATTTACAGAAAATAATTTTTATCTCTTGTGCGTGTCAAACTAACAAGCTAGTGTTAAATCAGCCCCTCTGATAAGAGTGTCAGAATGCCCACTGGTGCTGATTTGGCATAATTCACTCTTTCATCTTTAGTTAAGTTGTTTATTTTACTCCCCCCCACACACTTTTTTTTCTTCTTCTTCTYCCTAACAGTGCCAAGCTGAAGACAAACAAAGAGGTGTGTGTGAACCCTGAGATACGGTGGCTCCAGCAGTATCTGAAGAACGCCATCAACAAGTAAGTAGCKACAACACAGTACGCAATCCTGATGTGTTGTTAGACTTTGGTCGGAGTTAAATCACTTCCACTCAAAGCAAAAGAAAAGAAAACAYGTGCACACTGGGATTGTGAGCATTTTTTTTTTTTTTTTGGTGGTAAAGACAGCTTTCAGTTACTCAATTTATGCCCAAACATGCTGCTACACGTCCAAGTGGGAGTAGAGACTAATTACCCTTTAACACAAAAACTGTGGGCTCGATGTGGGACGATGCAAACCACATCTAATCTGATCTTTCTCTATACTGGCATATTTGTTCATCACTGTTTATACAAGACCTACATCTGCAAAAACAGCTTCATAAAAATGTTTACATCCTGCAGGGAGATTTCGGGAGAGGCCAGCATTAAACKTTTGTGCAGAAAGTTTCAAGTTTTATTCCGTAAATATTGATTGAAAAATCTGACATGCTATTAATTTTTAAATACCTGCCTGCGCCTAAAAGCCATTATTAGTACCTCTCCTTGCCTTGAAGGAGAAAATTAAGTTTCCACTTGTCATCAGTTATATTTTTAAATGAAAGATAAGACACTTTGTTGTGACAGGTTAAAAAAAGAACTAAAATGAATAAACATCCAAGCATCCTTTGAAGGAATCCCCTTCACCCAATTCTAATAGAGTTTTAATTAAAGTCACCTTTTTCTAAGGGAGGATGAAGTTATAAATGTTTTGGTCAAATCTTATAAATTATGTTAGGAATGTGACTCAAAGAGGACAATTTTCAGCTACRATCATATCAAACTGGCTTTGTCATTCAGTCAATTTCGTGTTTGCTAAGATCAATTAGTTGTGGCAGTCATCAGGATTTGGGCTGACTCCAAAAATAATTAGTTGCTGCATCACCTTTCACCTTTGGCGGCAGTTAAGAATACATCTTTTAAACAACACAAAATTGAATAAAAAATAGTAAATAAATAAATAAATAAAGGTACTTCTCTTTCAAGCTGACTTGTGCCATATATTCTGATGAGCCCTCGCTTCCTGCACTCCATCTCAAAGATGATGGCGGAAACCTTGATTTGGAGTGTAAATTTCTCTCTGCAGAACAATGCTTGTTTACAATCAATCCAGACCCAATGTGTTTCCAGTTACACACAGAGCCAAAGCGGAGTCGAAAATATAAACTTTTTCACAAAGAGTAAAAATGACACAGTTGTAACCCGTGTGTTCTTCTGTTTTTTACCCGAGTAAACAAAAAATATGATTTTATTTAGTTAAAATTCTAGTTTAAATATGAAAAAAAAAGCATCATTTCAGTGTCAATAAACAGCCCACCCATGTTCAGGTGTTTACAGTGTTTTATACAGTTTGTGCAGAATACTGTGTCATTCAGCAAAAAGAATATTCCACAGAAGTTCACTGTTGAACATGCAATTAATCAAATCTGAACACCAGATTAAAACAGAATGTCTTTGGCTGTAGGTTCCGGTCTTTATTGTGGGTTAAAAACCATTTTTGGCTCTGTAAACGCGTCACAGCTGTTTTTATTTGACAACCTGGAACAAAATGTTTTCTGAACTGTTGCCGCTTCGAGCTTGCTGACTTTTCAAAATGACATCATTAGTTAGAACTCAATCAGTTATTTTTATAATGCTGACTTTGTTGTCTTTAAAATGAGTTTATTCTCATAAATAAAACTTGCTTTTTTTTTACTCTCCAGGATGAAGAAATCCAAGCCGGGCATCTGAGTTCCTTCATGGCAGATACTGTATGTATCTAATATGTTATACAGCACATATCCAGCTGCTCTGCTGCAGCCTTTTGCATGGAMCGAACCTTCATCTCTTCACCACGAACACCATCTCAGCTGTGTGTTATCACCACCACTCTCACCTCTTTTAGCAAATACTTTTGGTGCTGAGTGCTACTATCTACGTGAATSTTTGTTTTTCTAACCATACTGTATATACTTTTTGGTTAATGGACATTAAAGAGACGTTTTATGTTTTTGAACACTTTTCTCTGGCCTTTAATAGAAAGCACGTGAACTGGGGCAAAAGTGCTTAGAAAGAGATTTATGTTCTCAACAAACATGACTCCAAGTCCTTTTTTGTAAGAGAGTCTGGTTTGTTAAGCCAGTTAATTATAATACTTAAAATCATCTAGTTGTAAACATTTATGTTTTCAAATTGTGTAAAATGGCAAAAAGAAATTGTTTCTTTCTAGAAAAAGGACAAGTTTAAGTTAATTGGCACCRTGGAATTACAGTGGGTACCAGCTGCCCTCAGACTGAACTTGATATCCCAATAGAAACGGCAACTACGTTGTTGTTTTGGGGACAAAACACGAAGCCACAAGAGCTTTTGTGTCTCCTGAGCTGTGCTGTGGCTGCGCTTGTGCAACCCTGATCCTCCCCATATGCTTTCTGTCTGATGTCAAGAACATCTGGTTCCTGAAAAACTGTTAATTAAACAGCCAATGTGTTCAAATTTACCGGAATCATAAAGTCGAATCAGTTCACGGAGAAGGGTGTGTGTGTGTGTGTGTGTGTGGTGGTGGGGGGGAGGGGGGTGGCATCACACCAATCAGAACGTTTGTGTCAAACGTCTAAGAAGGGCGCACATCGGATTAGGACTAGTTTCCATGTGGGCAGCTAACACACAAACACGGCTAGCTGCTGAGAAAGAAGCCCCAAATGATAGATGTGCTTAGGTGTGACTACCTACAAATGTCGTGCATGTATCAATGCACTTTATATCTGATGTATATTCATGTGTTAAAAAAGATCCCTAACTCTGAACACTAATGTCTTGTCTTTTGTCAAACGTTTTAATGCTTATTATCATTATGATTTGCCTTTTTTTTATCACTGATGTTTCATGGCATTTGCCAGTGAACACCTAATAAACCTTTACTGTACATCTATTCATTTAAATCTTTGTAATATGTAAAATTAATGTTATACAAAAGTTTATTTTTGTACTCTTACACTTTTATATGTTACATTTAAATGAAGGAACTGTACTCTCACAACTGAGCCATCCATCTTTTTTTATTGCAAAACTTATATTAAAAAAAACTTTAAAATGTCTCTGTTTTAACGTGTGTTTTTCTGTACATATTATGAACTTACACGATCATGCGTACATAAACTCTACCTGTTGTATATTCAGCGTTAAACATTGCAGGGACAATGTGCACTYGTAGGTTGGAAGTTAAATATGAGTCTTTCATGTGAGAACATGTGTTTGGCTTTACTCTCAAGGGCAAATTAAAGTCAAGAGCAACAGTCCTGCTTGCTATTTAACTATTAACTCAACAAGCAGTCATTAGGAAAACATTAGTGCTAAAAGGGATGAACTTTTAACTTTCCTCTAAGAGAATTGTGTGCTGGAGAGTGAAGCAGAGATGTGAATGACTTCCTGATTGAAACATCAAGGACAGCTGAAGAGAATCTGATTGGTCAACCTGGTTAGCTTTGATGCCACTGTAAACCCAAATTAGTAATCATTCCTAAAGCCGTTTACGGTAACTGATTACATCGGGATGTCTAGTTTTTACAAAACCAAAAACCAAACAATTCAAGCTCTGTTTACATAAAGTCTTGTATCCAAGCTTATCCATAACTAAATAACTTAAGATTTTAAAACTAACGTTTATGAGTAATTGACTCAACACCACTCATATTAATTAGTAATCATTACTTACGTTTATCAGTAATTATTACTCATGTTTATTAGTAATCATTACTCATATTTGTAATCATTATATCAGTAATCGCTACTCACATTTATCAGTATTCATTTTTAGTGTTAAGAGAAATTATTAAATGTAAATTATAGTCAATCAATTTGATTCTTATATACAAGACTAACATTTTAAACATGTAAAAAGTGAGTAAAAATTTTACAATGTCTAAGACTTAAATCAGTGGTCCCCAAACTACGGCCCGCGGGCCGAATCCGGCCTGCCTCCCCATTTGGTCCGGCCCCCAGAACAATACCAGAGAGCATTCAATTTGTTTTTTTTTTATACATGTGTATTTATATTTGATTATAAAGTTGGACTTTTGCAATAAAATGTTCCTTAGTTATGAACTATTTTCATTATTAACTATTATTAATTAGTAACTATTTCATACATAAACACATAGAACGTGACATTCTGTTCCACCCTTCTGCGGTCTGTGCCCCTATCTGGCAACCCCCAGAAAAAAATCCTAAACCCGCACCTC